ATGTTCACAAGAACCCATCTCTTGTACCTTTCCTGAACTAAATGAATTCATCCCATTCCCTCATATTTGTTTTAATATTCATTTTATTATTACCCTTTCATCTGTGCTTAGGTCTCCAAAGTGGTTTTCCAACTGTGCAGTTCTCAGTAGGATTTGAGGTTTTCATGGCGGTGAGTCCGAAGATGGCCGTCTTCTGTGTTGTTGCGCCATGTCATCCGGTAGAAGTTTACCAACATTTCAGAGGTCCTTGCTGTCTCCGTCATAAGGGCAATGAGTGATAAGTGTCTGATCATGGAGGCAGCAAGGACCTCTGAAAAGCTGGTAAACGTCTACCAGACTGCATGGCGAACAACCCAGAAGACATCCATCTCTCCCATATATGCTTCATTATCCTCGATTTGATCAAGAGAATGTTACGTTATGAAATGTGCAGTTCTGCCATTAGAATAAAACAATAACTTGTGGTTTTACGGTGTCACTGATGAGAAAGATCGTAATGTTATGTTCAGTTATAGGTTAATGTAAGTATTAAAAATTAGAATATATAAGTGTCACAGTGTGAAGCCATGGTTGAATTCAGCACTGTAATTAGTGACCAACGTCGTACTGAGTCGCAGAATTTTTCTTTACAGCCGATGCTACAGAGATTACGTTTGACCCAGGTGACGTCATCACTCACATCGATCAGATCGACGAGGGATGGTGGCAGGGACTTGGACCAGATGGAACATTTGGCCTCTTCCCAGCCAATTATGTAGCAATTCTGAACTAGGAGCACAGTCCCGAAGCATTTTATTTGAGTATACAATATTACTTTTCAAACATTATGCATACTGTGGCATTGGTTTCTTATATGTAGACATGTTACAGTGCACAATATTTTCAGTATGAGCCTTTTTTAAAAGAAATTAATACTCCAACCATATCATCCTAAAGCCTTCTTAAAAACTAATTATGATTTTTAAATATTGTTAGTCCCATCAGTATTTTGATATTGAATTAGTTACTGGGCAAATTTAATAACAACCAGATATATCGTCCAGAATCTAAAAATATTAGATAATTTAAAGCATCATGTTAAATGTTTCAATTTTGGGGTGTTCGAGAAATTACAACACCATCGTGATTTGCTTCGTACAAACACCTGCTCACTGTGCCACACTGCCGTTGATAGTTAACACAGCAGCTCATCTTATCCCTTTAATAATACAGTGTGTCCACAAAGTCCCTTCGGGGTTTTGAAAAATTGTGGCGCGCAAACAAATTGAGCCAGCCACATGCGGTTTGCGAGCAGATTACAGTGAAACTCTGGAAGTTTTCTAATGACCTCAGTAGACTCGAAGGAAGTTTTTTACTGACCTCAGTAGACCCCGTTGTGGGCTCTCTTGGTAGAACGGAGAACGTCCAGACGATATTCGAGCTCTTGCCACATTCTGTGGACCATGTCCGCTTGAATAGCCGAGATCACATTCCTGATACGGGTCTTCAGGTCATCAAGTCTGTTAACTGGTGTTCGGAACACATTGCTCTCGACATAACCACATAGGAAAAAATCCAGTGGTGTTATGTCTGGTGAACGTGGAGGCCAAGGCATTGGACCGTCTCTGCTGATCCATCTTCCTGGAAATGTCCTGTCTAGGTACGCACGTACCTGCAGACCCCAATGAGGTGGAGCACCATCTTGTTGCAGAATGATGTGTGGCTGTAAGTGCTCAATTTGAGACAATTTTTCAAAACCCCAGAGGGACTTTGTGGTCACACTGTCGTTCAATACATAGGTGATCTCTCTGCCAGACTTGTCCAAAGATAATTTTTTGATTGAATTCCTACTGCCATTTCCAAACAGTTTATTGCTTGTCTTTATATTATGATTTTGTCCTCCTTTACAAATATTTAAATGTGGAGGCAGTGTGTTCCTCAAGAACACTGGTATCTGCTGTAACCAATCACTTCTCATCTGCTGCTTGATGGAGATTACACTAATGGTCACTGCTCTTGTCTCTGCATTGATGTATAGGCATTGATTAAGGTTGTTTCAATGAAATAATTAAGATTGGGTTCAGGGTACATTGGGTAAGTTTAGGTGCTAGTGCGTGCCTGAATCCACGAAGTGATGACTGTAGCTACCTTAGCCAGTTGAACATGATACTCTTCTTGGGTAGCTCAGTCAGTATGGTGACTGGATGACTGAGATTCTATCTGCGACGGGGGCAGAGAATTTTTCCTCGAGCCTGCTTCCAGACCAGTTCTGGGGCCCGCCCAGCCTCCTATCCAATGGGTACTGGGGTCCTTTCCTTGGGGTAAAGCGCGGCCGGGGCATGATGCTGACCACTCATCACCATCTAGTGTCGAGGTCGAGAATGAGTAGGAGCTATACTTTCTCTCCCTCCAAGCGCCTACATGGCATATAGAGGGACAACTTTACTTCTACTTTTACACTTCCACAAGGAGTATGGCCAGACTGACAATGACAGCAGTATAGATTCGTGAACATAAGAGGCACCACTTGTTTAAGTTCAGATTTATTCTCATCCATTTTGAAGTTGACACACACAAATTATTCACTTGTAATGGCCCTCAGGTCCCGCGTGGTCTGAGGCATCGTGCTTCGGACCAGTGATACAGAATGCGCGCTGGTTTGATTCTCGGGGGAAAGATTTTTCTCATGAGATTTTCGACCGGTGTATGGGACCGGTGCCAACCCAGCATCGTGAGGAAATTGGGTAGCTACAATGGGTAGTGTAATCCGGTCATGAAAACTAGCAATGGCTGGAGGTTCGTCGTAATGACCACACGTCACCCTATATCTGGTTTGATGATCGTTCACCTCTGCTTAAGCATGTGAACGTGAGGCCAGCTAGTCGGCTTTGGCTCTCAGAAGGCTGTTACGCCACGGATTATTATTATCATTATTATTAATGGCCATCAGACCAACTTAAATCACTCACAATTATCTTAATATGCTAAATTGCTTGGTATTGCGCCAGTGTATTCAGTACATATAATAATTTTGAAAGGTTATATACTTTGGACTTACAAATTTCAAATAAAGTTTCCAAATTTATTTTTATGTCAAATCATCACAAGAGTCAAACAGAGAAGAACCATGAGATTACTTGTTAGTTCCACCAAGCACCCCCAATTTTCAAAAACTAGGAATACGTCACAAAATTTCTTCATATTTGATTGGTCCTTTGATCTTTGAAGAGTAACCCCTCTTAAATTTGTAATGAGTATTCTGATGGGTGGGAGTCCGTAGTTTCCACAATGTGAACCTCGTAATTTCATAGGATTACCATCAATTATTTTCCATGCCTGGAAGTAATCCAGTTTTGTAGGCATTCCCAAAATCCAGCTTCACCCCAGTGACAAATGACACGCAATATAAGGTCAACATCAGTTTTAAGAAAAGAAAGATAACAACGCAGTTAGAACTGTGAAACAAAAGTGGACTGCCCAGTTCCAACCTTTACAACACTAAAGACCATTTCTGTTCTCTTCTTTTCACCAGTGGATGCAGCTTGTCCTCACGCGTTAGCTATGAACCAGACTCAACAAAACTAACGAAATTAAAAGTAATCACACATCTAAATTAACATAAAACAATGAATAAACTAATATAGATTAATATAAAACACCTGAAATATTTATTCATCAATTAAATAAACTAATTAATCGACTAAATTAATTGATGTTCCAGTTAAACTTAAATAAATTAGGTGAGCCGTGGGTGAATGACTACACTGTCTACAAGTCCACATGGTGTTACAGCCCCGAAGACTGACATCAACACTGTGACACTTGCTGTTTGCACAAAACTTAATGATTAATCAACAACAGCATATGCCTCTTATGTACCAACCTTTCAAGCTGTGTCATTTTAGGAGAATAGTTTTAACAGATTTAAACAGAGTTTGCGACTTTGTTTCGCCAGATTCTCATGCTCTTTTTAGGTTAATTCTGTGCACAGGTATGGCAGATTTGACTGTATAATGAACTCTCTTGCTTTTTTAACAACACTAATCCTAATTTCATGTATATTATGATCTCATCCCTTTTATTATCAGAGATATTAACCCTTAAAAGCCCTTTTTAACTACATGTCCCACCTGCTTCAACAATCAGTAACTCTTCATTCTGTAGTTACACCTGTGTGTTTCATATGATTCTCACTGTTTGTAGTGATTATTTTCTTAAACAGTATTAACAAATTGAACTTTTAATTGGTAAAATATGGTGTTTTCTTTGTGGTAGGAACTAAATTCCTGTGGGCGAACGTTGGCTTCAAAGGGTTAAATTATCTGTGTATTTCTTTTTTAAGTTGTACTGGGTCTGAATGTACTGTATTAATATCAGTATCAATAAAGTTGTGCCTAGCTCCACTTTATGTCCATGGTTGTTTCTCCTTATAACATCCTGCCCTCATAATCATCTCTTTGAATTATTGGTTGTCTTTTCCATCCAAATAAGCACTTTAGGAAATACTGCAAAGCAGTTACCAATGTTGAAAAGAATATCAGTATCTTATTTTTATTTGAGACCTTTATTTGGCAAATTTATTATTCACCTTTCCCCAGTCTCAAATCTAGTTCGAAATGTATGAAAATTTAGTCTGTCAAACTGTGATTTTGTTTACTCTTATCAAACATAGTTTATTTGGGATATTTCTTTTTTATTTGTTAAACAGGTAACATTTTGGATGTTGCTGAGGAAATGCTGCTCATCTGGATACTAGTAACGAGTAACTGAATCGCCTATCAGACAAACTTTTGCCTTTATGGTGAACTAGCAGGATTTCAAAACTCGAATCTTTAATTCGTGGTGCCCTCCAAGCAAGGTGCTTTGGGCTGCAGGAGTAAATTGTTCAGAACGCAGCCGTACTGTCGCTGTCCCAGTTATATTAATTTCATCCCCCATTAAGAGATGGCAGCATAGTCTATAATATTTTATTAGTGCTTAGCAACAAATCGTCAGTTGCACATCTGCAGGTGTTTATACGGTGTTTGGTATAGTTATTTCAACCTAACAATGTGTCATGGCGTCGTTGGAAGTATACAGGAAATATCGTGATTAATGATTTTGTCACATCATCTTTGGAACATATTATACGTTTATAAATATTGGAAGTAATTTGTTGTTGGAAGTTACAGTAATTTGTTCTTTGTATCATGTCTAATGTGGAAGTAAATGAACTTTTCGACGAAAACAGGTAACATTAAGCATGTTGTCGGTATGGACGTATTATATTAATATGAAATAAATGGAATAGGTTCGTTTAGTACTTTGTTATGATACTGGCGTGTATTTTGTGGAGACATACATTTGTTAAAAATGTGTGCACAAAGTGTACAGTGCCGCTGGTGTAGTTGAGTAAAATGGAAAATTGGAAATATCCAAAATTGTTTTCCAGTAACAGGAAATAGAACTTTACATCAGAATATCTTTGCAGTTTTTAGAAGGTCGTAGTGATGGCAAAATTCTGTAACCAGGGGCAGTGTATAATGAAGGCGTTTTTATTAAAGGAGCTTAGGTTTGTCCCAGACTCCGTAGCGTATTTTGATAATATATAGACGCACGTGTATTAATTGCCCAGATTACCACTTACCTTGGAGTATTGTCCTAAATATTGTGTTGTAAATAATCAAATATTTGTAAGATAACCTGTAGGTTTGTTGTTTTAGTACATAATTTCCATCGTTAAATCAGTACTGCTCCAAGAAAAGGGGTCCAGACTCTTTTTTCTGTCTTTCTTATATGCCAACTCTGAGGTGCAAATTGTCAAGAACTATATCTCTTCGCTTCTCTTGGTACTGATTCTAAATTTATATTTCAACTGTACTGTGATTTCTGAATCAGTACTAGTAGGTGCAGCATCATTACTTAAACTTGTGTTATAAGTTTTATTTGTTGGATTGGTGATTTTGTGAATCTCTTTCTTAGGATACTTCTTTTCTTGCAGTCACTAACTGGTGATTCATCTGTAATCCGTAGCTTGCTGTTTAGTATTTAAGTAGTGATATTTTACGCAGCAACACGTTCTACTTTATGGGATGAATAATGTTCTGCTTGCTCATCTTTGTTTTTAATTGGAATATGAACATCATGTTTTTCTCCTTTTATAAAATATAATTCTGCATTTGGTACGAACTTTACGAACATGTTTCACAGTCCTACATAAATTTATCATCCATGGTTGAGTTTATCATAAGTTTTTCAAAATATGTGCATGTCTCTTTCCATTGAAAGAGTTATAATACGAAGTCTTTTCGCTCGGACTCATTATTTGGTAGCAAAAACAGTGTACCACAACGTGAAATGTTCGTGAAGTAGGTACTTGTTGTTCCTAAACTAATTCACTTTATAAAGTAAGAACTGAAATTCCATAACGTTAAACCTGATTGAAATTTGTTGAAATGCCATTTGTTCCACAACAAGAAACCATATTGAATTACCAAATTGTGATGAAAAATTACTATATTTAGATGCGTATTTTACAGGTATCCTTCAGGATGGAAAGCACTGTTTCTGGTGCTGTATGCGCCGTTCGGGTTTGCGCTTGCTGGTGTTAGGTTTCTTGTTGCTCTCCAGGCGCTACTGGTGGATGCCCTGTTTCCACAGCTCCCAGCTGTGAAAAGGTAAAACTTTACAACAAATTATGTGTTGTACGAATGTTTTTAGTTTGTCAGTGTGTGTTTTAATGCTGGTTATGCAAATTATAACAATTTTTGTATCACTCACAGTTTTTGAGTGACATGTGAATAGGATTTACATTAGAATAGAATGGGGGAGAGGTCAATCACTTCCTCCTCTTCTGCTTTGCAAGGTTCTTTGCACCATTGCTTGCATGTTTCTGTTGAAGACATGTCCATGTTTGTTCGGTTTTGTCGTACAACTTTTCCCTCTGGCGTCTGCGTCCAGACCGGCTCTGAGGCCCACCCAGCCTCCTGTCTAATGGGTACCGGGGTTCTTTCCCCCGGGGGTAAAGCACGGCCGGTGCGTGACGCTGACCGCTCACCCCCGTCTAGTGCCGAGGTCAAGGATGAGTAGGAGCTATACCGCCTCTCCCCCCAAAGACCTACATGGCGTGTAGTGGGACAGCTTTATAATTGATCCATCTTTATAATTGATCCATTTTTATCACCATTTCTATGTTTTAAATTAGACCATTTCTTATGTCGCTGTATTATTTTCTCTTCAAAATGTATTTACAAGTTCTGTTGCACTGATGAGTTAAAAGCACGGACTTTTTTCCTGTAATTCAACAATGTTGTGTTACAGGTTTGTTTTGTGCTCGTTTTGCACTGTCTTGGGCATTGTCGTGAAGCAAGAAAACACTGCATTGAGAGATGAGAATTTGAAAGTGCTGGTGGCAAATCACGTTTCACCTTGTGATCATATAGCTGTGCATCTTTCATGTGGGACCATCACCGTAAGTGCTCTCGCTCATTCAGTCCGCGGTCTGAAATGCCAAAATATGCTATTAAAAGTGTGAGGCAGGATTTTGTTTTGTATGTGCTTGAAGCACTTGAACCGTCAGAAATATCCTTGTCAGATCTGTCGGACATATCTTGTTACTGCCTGCAGAATGCATACCGTATATATGTTACCGGCAATGTATAGAATGCCTAAAGTCAGTAGCCAAAGTATGAAATAAATCATAACGTTAATATTCTTTACTTGTATAAATTAAAATTAATCGAAGTCGATTGGGCAAGCTGTCAAGATGGAGGTTGTGCAAGATAGTCACAAAGACACCGAGCTACTGAATCTGAGCATAGAATTAAAAAAAATTGTTGTATATTAAGTTTTTGGACCTACTTTTAAAGATGGAAGTTGTTCAAGATAGTCGCGAAAACACCAAGCTACTCAATCTGAACATAACAAAAATTTTGAGAATTAAAAAATTGTTTTATATTAAGTTTTTACAAACATAAAGGATAAAATAAAACTGTATAAATCGTATTATAGAAACTTCTTTGTTATATAATTTGGCTAAAGAATCTGAGGCATTTTAAAAAATTCCTAGGTATTCTATAGAATACGTAGGCAAAATATAAAATAAACTGTTAGTTGCATACATTGCCTAAAAGTTCTATGCATTTTATAGAATGTCTGGGCATTCCGTAGAATGCCTGAATTTTATAATTTGCCTACTGACTTTAGGCATTCTGTACATCGCTGGTAACGTATATAAAAATTAGGTTAAGTGGACATGCAAGAATGTTTCTTGTTTCTGCTTTCTTTCGTTGCAAGTACTGTCCTGTTTTTCTCAGTTTGTTTGTGTGACAAACACAAAGATTTTGGTGTGGTAGAATCACAAAGATAAGGAGTAACAACTAACTAATTGCATGGAACTGATTCCTTGTTGAGAAGCTGACATCAGCTAACCCTGCCTTTTGTGGAACCTGTATTTACAAGAGCCCACCACTCTTCCGTATCCTGAGCCACATGAATCCTCACCGTACATTCTTGCCCTATTTCCTTACGGTGCTGTCGTCTATACCTGGGTCTTCTGAACCAGGGCTGTAGAGTCAGTACTGAAACCTCCGACTCCTTCGTAAAAGCTCAATATGTATTAATAATGGTAAACCTACTAAAATGGTAAATGGTACCACAAGAGACTTCATCACGACCATGTTAATCATCAGGCTACATTTTAGACTTATAACCTATATTTAAATATGCGTCTAATGGTTACTGCAGAAATCGATTGATTTATAGACAGTTTGTATTCGTAAGGTACCGGAGCCAAAGTTACAAAGCATTATTCCCACACCACGTGGCTCAACATGTCGTTGAATCTCCCTAAGTGTGAGGTCACCGCCGGCTCACACGGCAGCGAAAGTGTTCTTAAGATTTTATTATTGAGGTCGGAGTCGGTACATTTTTACCGACTCTGACTCCACCTAAAATTGCTTCCGACTCCTTCTCCACAGCCCCGTTCTGAACAGACTCTTCCCTTCAGGCTTTCCAACCAAAATTTTGTACAGATTACTTGTCTCCCCGATGCTTACTGCATGCCATACCCATGTCATCCCGAGTTGATCTTCCTAATTTTTTCCGGTGGAAAGTACAAATGATGGAAGTCCCTAATTACCTAACCATCGCCAGATTCCTCAAACCCCATCCCCCTTTTCTATATTCAGACATCCTTAATCTGTGTTCTTCCCTTAATTTGACAGAGTATTTCACACCTATACAAAAAAGTAAGTTAATTTATAGAGTTTTAAATTTTAATCTGTTTAGTTAGCATACGGGAATAAGAATGTCCTTAACGGCGTGGTAGCAAACATTCCCCGAATTGAATTTGGTCTTAAATTCTTTGTAAATATAATTTTGATTTCTTAATGTCATTCCAAAATATTTGAACTTTGACGCATTTTTGAGGATTTACCTATTCACGTATTATAATGTAGTCTGATGATAAGACTTACTTTCCTTGGCATTTTATTCTACACCAGTTTCCTGTCTGGCATCTAACGGAGCAGTTTCTTTGCCTTTTATTTATGTCTTTGCCCAGTAAATTAACAGTCATGTTACATTTTGTATCGTACATGTACCTACAAATTTTGTATGTGGTACCAATTACAAATACACTTCAAGACACATCAATTATGCGTTTGTAGCTTAACTCATTGGTTGTGTTGATTACCTGCAGCCCAGTGTGTGGGAGCTTCCAGCACCATTCTGCAGGGCATTAGGGATAAAGGAGTTTGGGCTGAGGCAAGGAAGGGACGTACTAGTGGCCAATATCCGTAGCCACTTTGAGAAGTCGTCTACTCCGCTCTTGTGTCATCCCGAGGGCTCCACCACAAATGGGAAGGTGGGACTGCTTAAGTAAGTGCTGATTTCTTGTAGTTTGTTGTAATTTTAATGAATATTTAGTAGAGCATTTCCATAGAGTAATAGAATGATCTCTGACGAACGTGGTGTTGTGGTGTGAATTGGAGTTAAGTGAATAAAGTACAGTTGCTTGCTCTTAATTCAGTGTCAGTCACAGAATCCAGAGGTTCAGCACAACCAACATGAAAAGCTTCTACTGGACGATGAATGAGTCCAGTCCATCTCACATCCTCCCAAGTTATTTGTATAAAAAATTTTAATAATAATTCCCATGTTTATCTCAGCTCTTCAAAAATTTCCTTGTTGTAGATATTCTGCTCATAACTAACTAACCAACCAGATGGCTTATGGAACCCGAAGGTTCATCACCGAATTAACCAAAGCCCTCCACCGGACCCTGTCCTGGACCAACAAAATCCAGTCTCCTTCAACTCCTACCTCCCATAGATCACGCCTGAGATTATCCTCCCATCTACGTCTAGGTCTCTCCAGAGGTCTCTTCCCCTCAGGCTTCCCAAATAGTGGACCCAACCAACCAATGGCTTACGGGACCCGAAGGTTCATCACCGAATTAACCAAAGCCCTCCACCGGACCCTGTCCTGGGCCAACAAAATCCAGTCTCCTTCAACTCCTGTCTCCCATAGACCCCGCCTGAGATTATCCTTCAATCTACGTCTAGGTCTCCTCAGCGGTCTCTTCCCCTCAGGCTTCCCAACCAATACCCGGTGCACACCTCTTGTCCCATCCATGCGCGCTACATGCCCAGCCCATCTCATTCTTCTCGACTTAATCACCCTGACAATACTTCATTTATAGACTATAAATAATAATTCTACCAGATTTCTGAATAGTATAAAACGCGATCACATGAGTGAACAAAGGCTACAAATCTTTAAAACACAAACTGTCCGGAAATAATTCTGGATCGAAAGGGGATCAGGCATGTGGAAAATTTAGAATATTATTTGTGACGACATATGCGTTGTTACGCCCTGTAGTATGGTATAAGTTTACTTTCAGAAGTGCTTGCTGCCTCCATCATCAGAGAGGCAGCAAGCACCTCTGAAATGTAGGTAAACCTCTACCATACTACAGGGCGCGAACAATCCAGAAGACAGCCATCTTCAGACACACCTCCGTGAAAACCTCAAATCCCACTTGGCAGAAGTTTGCCGACGTTTGAGAAGTGCTTCTTTCCTTAATCATGAGGGTGAAACGTAGGTCAATTTCAACCACGCAACACCCTAGAAGACATCTTCGTACTCGCCACCATGAGAACATAAATTCTCTCAGAATACAAGCACTTTGATATCCCGCCTTGAAATTATATATATATATTATGGAGCCCCTTGACCGTTTCAGATAATTTTTTTTCCTCTCTACTTCGCTGGAGCAGTTATCGTGTCATATGAGACTGAGAGAATGAGTTATCTTACCTCTACAAACAAACAGCTCAGTGTTCTTTGGAAGATTGTGTAACCTCTTAGGTCACGCATTTATTCACAGACTAGCCTTTAGAGATCGAAGAATGCGACATTGCCAATACATGATCAGAAAGAGCATTTCTTCCACACCAGATCAACTACAAACATCATATATCAGTCGTTATTGTTTCCATAATTATGGGGTTTTGAAATTAGGCTTAACAGCAGACCGGGAATTTAAATGCCAGGGCATCATAAGACGTCCAACCACGGTGAAGGGTTAAATGACTTTCGTTCCTGGCTTTTTTTTTCAAACTATTTTTAATGACTTTTGTCACACACAGACATTTAAGAATCAGGGACAAAGCACCTTTCTTTGTTTCTTCATCTTGCCTCTGGGTGCAGCACCGTCTCCGCTTGCTGTTGACAGGTTTTCCTCGTGGTCATTTTGTCTGAGTGACGCCATTCAGCCAGTAGCTATTCAAGTGTGGCGGCCACCATTTGCTGATGTTGCAGCTTCAGCTTTGGGTACTGGATTGTGGGCAGACATATTCTGGTTTCTATTTGTTCCCTGCACTCAATTTACTCTCAGGTAAGATTTTATTGGTTTCACGGCCATATCTTTGGAACACACGGGTAGGACTCGGTTTACGCCAGGGTTGTTCATGAGATGAAGCGGCGTAAATTGAAGCAAAAAATATAATGGGAACATATGTAAATACATTAGGTTGCGTTCCAAGATTTTCAGCAGTCAACACAAAATACGTGAAAAATGTTTTATTTTATGAAATTTGCGTACTTAAAATTGCTGTAGAACTGTATCAATTCCTCAATTAATGTAATTTTCTTTTTCTCGTCGCATTTTATATTCAGGTTTTTGTTTAATTTTTTAAATTCCGGGCCGTAGTTTATCATTTAGTATTACAGTTTTATCACAATGTCGGGACCATCCGCGTCCAGGAAGTCGGGCAGAGTCATGACTCGTCACCCCCTCCAATCGCAATCTATGAGAGGCGCAGAAGTAACGGTACTCCTAAAGAAGAGTTTGAAACAGTATATTCCAGATATTGTGTGCTTTGTATATTACATTAAATAATTTCGTTGATTGGACCAAAGATTGCTTTGTTTTTAGTCAGTACCAGAGAATTTTATCTTTGAGCAATAAGAAATAAATGTGACCTTTTGGTAATGCTTTCTACAGAATTTTAATGTTCTTGGGCCACAGATATCTTCCAGTAGTGACGAGGGAAAGTGGCGAGAGTGACGTTCAATTAGGGGAACGCGTTGCAAAGCTGTTGGCGGAAGATCTGGGAGTGGTGGCAAGTCAGCACACTGCTTCAGACAAGGCAGAGTATGAGAAACGATACTTATTGGAGCAAAATCAGCCCATAATTGTTCGCACTTCACCTACGTCTGAACTGCAGCGCATGGCTCACCAGGTGGGTGAAGTTCTGCCATACGTGCCTCGTGATGTCATCATTAGAGATCTTGGTGAGTAGCGTGCAACAGACTAATTTTCTTACACTAAGAACCACGTAAGATTTTTGGTTTTCCTTTTGTGTTGCCAGTGGGAGGTAGCCATTTAGATGGTTCTTAGAGAAACAGGGTCGAAGGGTGTGGGCGGCGTTCGTTTGGCTGAAGATAAGTACCACTGATGGGCTCTTATGAACTTTTAGTTTCCATGACGACACTCTCTCAACTTAAGACTGGTCTTTTATATACAGTATCGTCTCTGATGGCGATGTCACCAGCCTTAATGATGATGTCCGAAATGCTGGGTTTACCAGAAAGTCGAAATCACCTCATTGGCTTTTGAGTGCTTTGCAGTGTTACATTTGGTAAAAAGACATTTTAAAGAGAAAAATTCCAACTGTTATAGAAAAGTTTCCTTCTATCATAAGCTAGTGAAAGCTACTATTAAGTCTGACATAGACTTAAGCGGCCCATCCACGTATGAGTCTGACTTGCGAGTCTGGCTCGGATATATTTCACCACACATGCATAGCAGACTCCCAAACTTAAGGCACCCGACCCACAAACGAGTTTGGCTGAATGGAACCCAAACCGAGCCGGACTCGCGAGCCAGACTCGTACGTGGATGGACCGCTTTAGATGGTTGAAGTCTGTTGATGGCAATTTAAGGTCGCAGCCCAGGTAGTGGCATCTTACATAAAAATAAATTTCACTTCTGTCCAGCTTGACGTTGATGGTACTTATTTTGCAGAACCCCACAAAGTTGTCATTGCTTTTGCTAAGCATTTTAAGTCGATCTACGATACCTCTTTTTCGGGAGTATTACTCTCCTTTGTGTAGTCCTCCAAATTCTTATCATTATCCTGTGTTTCTGAATTGGACATCTGTAAAGCTCTTAGACATCTAAGACCATCTGTTGGACTTGATGGCAACCTGTTCCTCTCTTTTGCTGTGTGTTTAATTGGCGTTATGGCTATTGATGCAGAACGCTAATATTAAAGAACTCAATTGTTTTAGCAGTCATAGAAACCTCTAGTGTGCAGTTAGCTTATTTCTCAAGATGTGATGGCAGTTTGAGGCGCATCAATCATCATTGCTCTTCTAATAATAAATGTCTGGGGAGCCGAGATAGCTCAGTCAGTATAGTGACTAGCTACGGGTTGGATGACGGGTTTGATCCTGAACGGGGCAGAGGATTTTTCCTCTAGCCTCTCGTCTCTGGGGCCCACCCAGCCTCCTATCCAATGGGTCCTGGGGGTAAAGTGCGGCTGGGACGTGACGCTGACCACTTGCCCCATCTAGTGCCGAGGTCAAGAAAGAGTAGGAGCTATACCACCTCTCCCCCCCAAAGACCTACATGGCGTGTAGTGGGGACAGCTTTACTTTTACTTATAATAAATGTCTAAATAGATAATTGTTTATTACTAAGCAATTTTATTTGTCACAGTGCTTGAAATGTTCATTTCACCAAGAACGAGAAGCAGGAACTTAAAGTGGGATTTTACTTTATTCCTTTCAAATTTTTGCTGTTCATGGTGAACCACAGCGTTATCGCATTTCATCTTACAGGCAGAACACGGAGTGTTGATATTACCATCTCTAACATATTAGAGGGTGTCGTGACGTACATACCGCAGGTGGAATCATCGTCTTCCGGCCGTGTGAATGCAGTGGCACAGCAGTCAAAGAGCATTCCTTCGGCTTCCGCTAGTACGCACACGCTGGCTAACACTGTACAGGTAATTTATCGTCAAGAGCTCTCACTGCAAGATACTGAATTTCTAGTACTGCATGCGTCAACATCATCTAATCAGTGCTGTTCTTGGCAGCATTTTTAAGTAAACCATAAATAAAATAAAAATAAGACATTCAAGCTTCTCTCTTGAAGCAATAAGTGAAACCATAGATGACTAAGATGTGGACGTAGAATAATTATTAATTAGCATTCAAAACAAACCTTGCCACATAAAATATTTAACACTTCTCTAAAACTGTTCTGAAAACGTAAAGTGTGAATTTAAAGAAGAATTCCAAGCTACAAAGTTTTTTCCGCAGGAAAATTATATCAGATTTAAAATCACAGGCAGAAGGTTAGAGCAGTGATAAACAACGTGTGGTACATGTGCCATGTATAGCATGCACCTCGTGACCCTAAAAGTGGCATATGACCACTTCCAAGACAAAACAAAATTTAATTTTAATATGATACTTGGCACATACTTCGTACTTTAATTTGGCAGAAGTGTAATCATAATATAATAATTACAACTTTGTCAAATGCAGCACTTAATAGCAACCTTGTTTCAAGAAGGCGCTTGACATACTTCTGACTCATCCTGTATATGTCATGAACTCTGCTGGCCAAAAATTGTGCACAATTTAAAACGGAATTCTGATTTACAAGTTGGAAATTGAAAAGAAAATCTTGACAATGCCAGTCCTCATTGTGCATTATTTTTCTGCAGGTTTCATGTTTGGATACATCAGCGCCTTCATTCGCCCGCTCAGCGCAGGAGCGAATGACGTCTTTCAATGAACGCAAAGCTCGTCTAATAGAGAATGCCCGCCACAGGTATATTGAAAAACATGGCCTAAAGAATGTTGGATTGAATTGCTGATGACTGATGATACATGCCGCAGTGACTGTGAGGTGTCTGAGAGTTGAATTCTTTTAGGGTAATTTTAACGGACTGGGCTCACGATGACTTTCTCTACCTTCTTCCTCCTGCACTCATAATTTAGTAATATGTATGATGATTTTGTGTAAAATGTGCATCAAGTTAGTTTTGACTAAGAATTTGAGTTGTGGTTATGTCGGTGTGTGACGAGCAAGTTTTGTGACTAATAACTTCATACTCAGTTTGCAATAATGAAAGTGGATTTGCAGATTAATGAACATTCATGTATGAGAGACAATGCCATGACTGGAAATTCTAAAAATGTAGTTATGTTTAATGTAATTTATTTTCCAAATTTTTCTGTGGTATCTCTGGAATTTTCTGCCCGTCATTTGAGAATGAAGTTGGACTGCGGTCATTCAAGAATAATTCTGGCCCATTCCACAAACTGTCGTAGCCCCTCCGCTGCAATATCTGACTGAAGAGGAAGAAGCGTCCGTTACCGTATAGCGGGGAAATTTGACTTTAGTCCGCATCAAGTAAATATCTCCCTTCGCTGCGACATTTGCCTTCAATCGGTGAGCTGCGAAAACACATTTTTGTTAGTCTGCATGGTGTTGTGGTAAGCCTGTCCAGAAGTAATTGGTACAGTGACGAAATTATATTCTTTACATCAAAGTTTCAGAACATAAAACACATTTCAAATGTTAGAATGACAGGTACGTGAAAATAAAAAGAGGCAAACTCACCACGTTTACTTCGTAAAAGATGCATATTTTTTTTCTGCACACGGCCTGTTTTGGTCATGATTTCGTGGTAGAATCTTCGATAATTTCACTGCTCTGCGACACACGGTCTGGAAAGTTCTCTCCTCGTCATTACGATGCGCCGTATTGGCTGCTTCCGTAAGTGTAATTACAATCTCATTGTCATCGTCTTCTTCCTTGCCGTCCGGTCGGTGTCACGTCGTCGTCCCCGTCTCTTTCCATAAAGATTTATGACACAATCTCTTCGCCTGTGAGCTACTGAACAACATTGGCGTCATTATCCACACCAATAAAGTTGTTCAGTGCCACCTCACATTACTTTACGCTACATTCGTTCACGTTTGTGTCACTTTTAGTTTTGCTTTCAATTTGTCTCGCAGTACAATTCCAGCTTTCTGAAAGCAGTCCACAGTAAAAGTAGCCGCAATAAGCGTCTGATTTGCCTCCGGAATGTCGTGTTTGCGTCACGGCCCATTGAAATATTAAGTGAGAGAGTACAGAAAGCGGATGTTTACGCAGACGGTTTAATCGTGCAGCTGCTATCCGATCGAAGTCAAACAGATGGTCCAGTTAATGGCGAGGTCCAGAAAAATGATTTTACTAAATATTCCATTACTTCAGCTTCGGTTAGAATGATATTTCACTGTAGCATTAATTGTCTTTTTAGCCCACTTGCATTGCACGAACACATTCACACCATTCGGCATTTCTCAGCACTACGCTCTTATAGTAATTATTTAAATTTTGCATCAATATTATAATTTTTAATATATTTCTTTATTAATTATGTGGTTTTTTATTTATTTTTTAAAGAAACTCGTGGTTAGATGATTTTAAGTTTTCGAAACCCTAATTCTTCTTTACTTCATTAACATCTGCTGACCGCAGTTTTTCCAGTAAGGAGTCTCTGTATTCTGCAAGGACAGAAGATAGTGTTTTCATTGGAGCGTCTCAGTCTAGTAACTGGGGTTCGGATGCTTGATACTTAGATTAATTTTGAAGTGTTGTATGATCTGAAGCTTTCACGGTGACTAAGTATAATGAATTCTTCTTGGGCTACCTGACGTGTCGGGGGGGGGGGGGTTAACGGAGAAAACGCCAACGTTTTGAGAACCGTCTTCGTCCTTGTACCTCCTCGCGAGTACCCTGAGGACAAAGATGGTTCTCGAAACGCCGGTGTTTACTTCATTAAACTGGCTTACGCAGCCATTAGCCAGAGAAGAATTCATTATATTAAGTGCTTCGAAACTATTTCTGAATTTGGATTCTTAAATGATTAAGCCTCGCAAAAAAAATTGTTGGGGCATTAAATTACAAATATGTAGTAGAAATTATATTTTTGTTTTAGAAGATAATTCTTTGTAGAATGGAAACAGCAGTTTTTCTAGAGGCTTCGTCTTTTACTGTTAAGTAGTGAGTTTTGTGTTGCGGGTCGAAGGTTTGCCGGAAGGCAGTTCATAAAATCGTGTTACTGCGTCACAGTTATTCTTATGTTTTAATAATGAAGTACAGATTTTTTCCTATTTTCTACGAGTTTTGTTTGAATGAAAGCGAACTCGCTACAGCCTTCAGGTACGAAAAGTCTGTGCTTACCGCCACCGTTTAAGCATCAGTCATCGGATGTAGCGGTCCTAACTAGGAACACGCGAAAAATAGAGATTTACTAATTGATATCTGTGCTCTGTGCAATTCTTTGTTACCGCTGATGTAATAAATCTTGTCACTGTGTCGGTTGACTGTCAAGATATTTTACGGATTTTAAACGGAGCTTGAATTAGTTACTTACGGGTAAGGGCAAGGGTGTATTTACAGAAGTACTGAAACTATTTTAGCAGAAATACTTTAAATTTGTCTTAGAAGAGGTGTCCGCTCTGAATCTCCGTAATTTTGCCACGTATCCCGAATGAGGGTTCTCGTGATTTTTCATTAATTTCCAGATGAATGTTGGGATATTACCGCTGCCTCCTTGTTCATTATCGCCTTCCCATTTAATCTCCTCCGGTATTACATAATGTGTGCAGTTGAAGTGTAATTGAATAACCTTACAATTAATTGGAACTATTTATCTGATTATAGCGTCAGCACAGCACGGCAGTTATAAATGTCTGGAAAATATTTTTAATAAATGAGCTTGTCAAATTCATTATAGGCTTTCTGCACCGTCACCAAATTTTAGTGTGAGCGCAGGCTGTAACAAGTGCGTTCAATATTTTTAGTTGTGATGAAAGCGCCATTTTATTATTTTCAATATAATAGGCACTTTGCTTTCTGCGGCCGTGTAATTTTACTGCAGCGAGCCCCTTGCCCCCGCCACTGTGATACAGGTAGTGTTGTGTTATGTTACCCCTAGCAACGGAAGCTTTCTGGTGTCCTTTGTCCCCCCCCCCCACCACTCATGTGATTCGTTACCTCCATTGAGTGCAATGTGTACACCTCACGTGATGGGATTTGAGGTTTTCGTGGCGGCGAGTCTGAAGACGGCTGTCTCTGGGTTGTTGCGCCATGTAGTCTGCAAAAGACGTGATGTTCGAGGAACTTAAGACAGCGTTCTGAATGTAAGTGGCCATTCTGCAGGCTGGTGGAAAGAGTTGGGAACATCTGGTAGAATTACAAATACTGATCTCCCGTCAATACAGCAATTAGTGTCTAATGCAAGTACCCTGACTTAGGTTTCTCATTTATTTATTAATTTTCATTAAAAGAATGAGCCATAGACCTGTTCCGCGACAGTCGCTCAAGGAAACTTGTCCTATTAGTCTTTTAAGTGTACATTTGTGAGTAGTTAGTGACCAACCCACTGCCTCTACACAGTTTCTACTCAGTCCTGATTTTAACTGCCAGAGCCATCTAGCAGTGAATCAGGAGAGACTTGGGTGAGAAATGGCCGCTTAATTTTGATTACGAAACATCTCGTTCATGCTCGTAAGGTTCTTTTACGTGCCGTAAATCTACGACATGGGACCGCTCCGAGGGAAATTGTCGTGCTGTGGATTGTTACCACCCTTAAAGATCCATCTACCTCGGCCAGGTTTGAACCTGCGAACCTTGGGTCCAGTGGCAAGCACGCTAACCTCTTTCTTGGTTGTGGGGCATATAACTAGGTACAATTGAAAAGGGGCACTGCCCACATTGCCCAATTATGGAGGCCTTCAGCCAAGGTTGTCCCAACCTTTTGGATTCAGCTCCACATCCATGCAATCAAAGTTCTTTTAATAAGGGACAGACTGCCTGACGGGACTGTCGTCTCACCAGTAGCGAGAGCCCCTAGTCCAGAGGTTTTATTTATGTGACTTAAATTTTATACTTCCAAAATGATTTGCAAAGATAATGTTGCAGTAGTTGTGTTACTGTTCGACACACTTCTTGACTTTCAGAGGACATTCTAAGCTAGTGTATTCCATAATAAGCTAACGATATAACGTATCTGTTACAAGGACTTCTCTTAGTTATTCTGAGTGTGTGACTTCATGAACAGTGCGCATGGAATAGCTTTTCTGACTCTGAGGCACTTGTGCTGACCAAGGGCTCTGTAGAGACACGTGGGATACCGAGGAAGATTTATGCTCAGGCCAGTCGAGGCTGCCCCTAAAACCACGGTCGCAAGTCGGCACAAGTGACCTGACCATTCGGTTACCCTGACTGAGGTTTTCCGTGCTTTTCCTCAGTTGTAAGGCAAATAACAGAATAATTCCAAAGGGGCAAAGCCCACACTCCCGAATCATGGAGGCCTTCAGCTGAAGTGATTTCCCCTCCTAATCGCAGATGTCATCAACCAATGCGATCGCAACACTTCTGGATTCAAATCCCAGAGAGCCATCTGACTCAAATATGTTATCTATATGGTTATTTGGTAATATTGCTTGAATACTTTCTGTTCAAATTATTATGTCAAGAATTTTCCAAATGTTAAGGCCGTTTTATTTCATTTCAATACTTAAGTTTTGAATTGTTTTTACAATGTGTAATGATAATAATGTTATTTAATAATAATTGAATAACTCGTAATTTATACATTGTTAATAATCGTTCCTAGCATTACTGAATAATTGTCTTCGTCTTGGTCAAATTTGTGGTCTGCTCAGCTTCAGTTCAGCTCAGGCGCCATTGTTCATGTTCCTAAGTCAAACCTAACCTAACAACAACAAAAAATACTTAAAGTCTGCTTGTGCAATAAATCGTAAATTGTAGCCGCTCCTTATAACTGGCATCAGACCAAAAATATGTGCGTTTTACGACCTAGTCCTGTGTTCTTCATAACTTAACGTTGACAAGTGTGGAACCTTGAACGTGGTAAAATCTTGTTCTGGTCGTTATTACGCGACATTTTTTAATCCTGTTGCCAAGGCCAGCAAAGATAAGGATTAGCAGGAACATAAATGTCTCTACCACAAATATATATGCAAATTGTGTTTCGTAGCTTTTTTGTTCGTCTGATTTTATCAGAATGATGAGGTGGGCGGGACATATAGCACGCGTGAAAAAATTCTAGATAAGCATATGAAGATTTAATTTAAAAATGCGAAGGGACAAGACGATTTTGAAGACGGTCTTGTATTGGGTGTCCTACGATGCAGGCAGGTTAGAGAAATGGGTCGTGACAACGTCTGGCACGGTTGTGACCGGTGGCGGGCTCTCGTGAACACGTAATGAAACTTGTGCTTTCATGGAAGACGGAATGTCCTTGAAAGTGGAGTGAATGTTTATTGGCTGCTCAAACAAGGGCTCTGTCTTGGACTGAGGGATGTTTGTCTTTAGATATTTTGCTGTGAGTAAACATAATTCAAAAGGAACAATGAACAGTGGTGTTTACATGCAAACCGTCGACACAAATATTGTTATCACGTGCACTTTATCATCATGGCTGACAGGAAGTATGGAAGTCCGATGATCCTACGAATGTATTACCAAATTCCATACAAAAAATTCCATGAAGGTAAGTGAGCCGACAAAATTCAAATTCAAAAGTGGTGCTTAAAATGGCAGATTTCTACGAACTTACTCTCAGTTGCAAATATCCTTTATTTCATTACCGGCTGAGTAATGACGATTAACACTTTGCCATCTGAAATGAGTATCTGTTACTGTGAGGTAATTTTGTCAGAATTTAGTATGACAAAAACTGGCTTTATTTTTAACCCAAACTTTGTGCGAATATATATCATCTGTAGAATGAGTCCATGTATTACCCAAATGTAAGGTTAGCGTGTGTTTGAAGGCAACTGATTCCATGGAGCGGAGTCATTGCGAGGCTAGTAGTCGCTTAGCTGGCCAAGACATTCGTCATAATTTACGGAACAGCAAGGTACTTCGTTACCATGGTCTCAGGAGTCCTCCGGTGGTCTCCATCATGAGGCGTGAGAATGCAGTTTTGCTTTATTCCTAACAATTCGGGAATACAAGATGGATGAACGTCTTCCCTTTATATTTCCTTACGCAAGAAGGTGATGCAACCCTCAGATCCATTACTAAGCTCGCAAGAGCCCACCCAGATCCAGTCCTGAGACTGTCAAGCCTTATGTACACACCCTGTTTCTACAAGGTCATGTCTGGGTCTTTCCGTGCTAAATCTAACAAAATTTATATTTCAATCACACCATCGTCCATATTCGTGGCTTTTATTCTACAGACAGACATCCATAAAGCAAAAGTTTATCCAAATTTACATTTTGTATCGCTTTTAAATGCCTTTATATTAATCAATTAATTTGGTTTGCATGCATTTGACAGTGATACAGCTTGTTCTTGAATGAATAATTTTTTAGCTTATAGAGTGATAGCAAACAGCCACGGTGGTCTAGCGGTTAGAACGCTGGCCTTGTAATCCTCGGGTTCGATTCCCGGCGGTGCCCGAATTTTTAACTTGTGTTGGGCAAGGCCGTGGTCTAGGCAACACGGATTTTTCCTCCGTGGCATCCCAACAATTACTCCATTCACACACAAAAGAAGGCAATGGCAAACCACTTCTGGATCATCTGCCAAGGACGTATATGAACAGGTCCCAGTCAGAATTAGATCTTAATGATGGCGATCGGCCTGTGGAGCCATCTGTCGGGCATAATTTATTCTAAAGGCGTTAACACGTGAGAATTGTCGAGCGTACCACGAAATCTTGGCGTCATAGGACTTAGTTATGCTTTCGGAATACCGTAGAGAATTTCTGAGCAAATTTTTCTCAACACCGAGAAGCTATTATGTTGACATCAAATAAATAATTGCGCTCTCCTAAATGAAACCATTGCATGTCTCATTCGATTTATTTTGTTCACGTTCTAAAAAATCGATTGTGACGTGTTCGTAAGAATGCGTTGACTTCGTTTTTGCGGATTCTTAATGTTTATTGCGTGAAATTAGGAATCGCTCTGTATATTTTCGTGTTAACGACTTCTGCTACCAAATTTCATGCTTTATTTGAAATCGTTCACCGTTAAATAATCTAGAGCCTAGGCGAGTAAAGACAACTCAGAACTTGCATTTTAGCAAAGCTAGAAACGCCGTACTCTTCAATTGGAGCAGCAGAGTAAGGTTTTTTTTTTGGGGGGGGGGGGAGACCTTTGGTTTCCTTGAAGCACAAAATTTTGTGACAGCTGATATAATCTGGATGTAAAATAATCAAACCAAAAACTCTGTCGTCACAGCTGGCTAGAAGGACGCTCTAATAGTGAAATAATATTAATGGAAAAAATTCTAATAACGAGTTTATTTCACAACAGTTACAAATTCCGAATTCTTGATTTTCAATTTTGGTTTCTGTCCCTCTCACACTGTTCCCAACAATGTCTTTATAAATCAACAAACGCCTTCGGTCTCAGATTTCTGCCCAAGGCCGTCTCATTGTTGGGCGTTGTGCGATTATTCTGTATTTCGCTTTGTCGTTCTTCTTTTTTCAGAAACGTATCTACTGTTATCATGTTATTTAAATTTTGTGTTCACTGTCATCATTACAGCCTCATAACATTCATTTGTAACACTTCCTGTATCTCAAATATCTTAACTTCGTTTGTGAATGTGCCATATTCAATTGTTACATTTCGTAATTTTTGTTTTCATAGACACTGACGCCAATATTTCACTCTCAAAGTATCCACGTGACCTTGACTCTGTCTTGTGCCAGCTAAATGGAATCTACGTTCACATAACCTAAAAACATCAAGACAAATTTCAATGTCAAAGAGCCAGTTCTCCAAAATAATTTATTTCAATTAGTTTACGCGACTAAAATTTTCTATGCATTTATCATCTTAATGCGTGCTTCATGTTCCACCAATCTCAGTCAATTATTTTATCGTAGTAAGAAATTACAAGTTACGAAGCTTCTCATATTTGAATGTTCTCTTCTCTGATTGGTCCAAACTCTCCTCAGCGTAATGTTGTCAGTGCTTACGGAACGGAATTCTTTTTGCGTGTTTATACACAGAAATTTTTAACGCGTTTACAAATAAACGAGTGATGTTTTGCACGCAGTGAAATCGATCCGTGAGAACTGAGGATCACTCAAGCATGACAGTTCCGGTGGGAAGAGGCCAGCTTCAAAGTCAAGGTGACTCAACATCCCATGGTCATTACTGAGATAATGGCTTTGTTGTGGGACAGATGTTTCATTCATAGGAATTTTTATTGCCTCTTTGTTACGTTGCTAGCTTCAAGGTTAATAGCTCAAAATTACACGGCCGTTAGAAATAACTTTACAGGAACCCACTCGCGTAATACAGACAGACCTTGGAATTCTTTTACTCTACAGAGTTGAAACGGAAATGAATGCTAACCACCTTAGCTATGGCACAGTCTTAGGATGTACTCTGGTATATTTGCCACCTTTTCACCTAAAGACGTAACATTCGGTGTCCGGTGTCTGCATACGACACAATGAAAAGTCCAGATAACCTGTAATAATAACCCAGTTTTCAATTTTTAGTTGAAAATTGTTTGTATTGGGCCATTAATTCTATTAAATTCTAAAATTATTTTTCCTTTGATTCCGTAGCTAGTTCAACTTATTACTTATGAGATCTTTGATAAATATTGCTAAAAATATTTAAATATATTAATTTACAATATATAAGTGGTGTGTTTAAATTTGTAATTCATCGCCTGATTTGGAAACAGATACACATTCATCTGTTATTGTATTTAACGTGTGTCTACTCGATAGTTGAATTCTACGAATTACGTTCTTCAATTATTTTGAACAACCTTATCAATAAAATAACATAAACATGTGATAGTATTGTTGATAACCCCCATTTTTCCGACTCCTTCATTTGTTATGACTGATATTTTACCATCCATTTACGTAATGCAATATGTGGATTCTCTTTTTTATGTTATCACTGTGTTAGCGAATAATTTTCTGGTATTATACGAACTAACATAGGTTTTCTCATAATCTGTGGTATTAATAGTAAATATGTTCGTAAGTTGATATGTTTTGTTCTCGTTTCTTCGCTGTTAATGCTGTATTATAAGTGTTGTAGCTATTCCTTCTTTAATATGTTTGACCATAATTCGGATAAGCATACCTTTATTATTGTCAGCTTTTATAACCTCACTTGTCAAACTGCAAGCTTATTCTCGCGTGGACTAGTAGTCGGCCGATATCGGGAGGGTTCGTGCGATCGGCGAACTGGTAGTACTGGAAACGACCACGCACGAACGGTGGCGCTAGCGTCAGTATGGAAATGGATTCGGAGGGAGAAATGTGTTTACCAGAGAGACAGAAGTCAAAGTTAATTCCACACACTTTTTATGGTGCTTGCAGACGAAGATACTTTATAAGTATTACCCGTACTTATTAAATGCTGCTGAGGACGCAATAAGGAAGCAGATTAATTTCAGAGACTATTTTACCATCAGAACGATTAACAATTGAATTGAGGTATGATTTTTCTTACTTATTATATCTGGTCTTTGTACTATTTTTGTTTGTATATTTTATTGTACAGGGTGTCTACAATGAAACGCCCGAATTTTATCGTATTCTCAGGAAGTAAGGAATAGAGATATGGTCTATTTATTGACAAATATCAGTGACATAACACATCAAGTTTAATTTAAAAAAATCAATACACTTATACGTGAGCACCGTTGGTGACACGTAGGATATCTAGCGTGTAATCGACAGACAGTAAGAAATCAATTTGTAATATATTATTGACAGGTAACAGTACACCAAAACGTACATACATTTTTAAATTGATAATCGTTCACTGAAAAGTTGTAAAATAATTTGGAAGTGATAATGAGTGATCAGAATATATCTGTAGGTATGAATCACTGATTTCTGAATTGATGTTGTGTGACTGAAGTGTGGACACAGCTGTTGATGATCCTGAGGAAAACTTATCCTCTTCTAAGAAAATTGCTGTAATACCATATGAATTGTCATTTTTATACTTTGGCTGGTGTTTTTTTAAAAAAGTCACCTACCTTAACAAAAATTGTAGTCGCTTTCTTGCGCATGAGAGGTTGAAGCTCGATTACCATACTTCGTTATGAAAAACTGAAATTTTTCTCGTTCCACTTCTAGTAATTTTTCCTCAATGATTTGTCTGCGTCTCTTGGTTTACATTTTCTTTCGTTATGATCATCAGGTGTATGTATTATCTGAGACCCTGGTTCTGCCAGCTACCCGTTCTGACAAGACTGTTCAGTTTACACATTTTCTTCGCTCTAAATTTACTGAGTTTCAGTGCTTGCTGTACGTTCATTATCAATTCCAGAGATTCATGGAATTTTGCAACAAGTTATCCTTGGAGTCATCTGATATGATACTAAGTTTAAATTTTTGAAGTATGCCTATTTTCACTAGAACGTTACCCTAACTATTTTTTTTAATTCTCATCTAAAGGTATTCCCCGTAATTTTTTTAAATCTAGATTTCGAAAATTCACCTATAATTAAAACGTTTCAGTACATTAATAACTAACTAGATGGCTT